TGGATATACTGTTATCATAGTAAACTAACTGTCGACTAAAAAACCTTACTATAGTCTTCTTTTTATTGGGCTGAAGGATAGACTGTACAGACAACATTCACTGATTGTTCTTTCGGTACAGTCTCTGGTACTGCAGGGTATAAATAACTCGTGGTATTCGGTGATAGTCTGGGTGGTACATCGGGTGCTCCGGTCTTTGAGCCTGAGTGCTTCCTGCTTGGGGTGAGTGTAGATGGACTCGGTAAAGAATCCACAATCTTGGCCTGTGGTGAGTGTGGCGAGCGCGCACCATCGCCGTTGCCATAGCTACCAGTGGCGCGTAACGTAGCAACTAGCGAGTGCGAACTGGTGCGCGAGTGTTTCCTTGACGGTGGTGTAGGCTTGTTAGGCCTCGGCGCCTGCACATCGGATGATGCACGCACGTGCTTCCTTGCGGGTACACGTGGACCTGTATCCGGGTTTGTACCGGTCCTATCCGTGTCTGTACCGGTCCTGTCTGCGATTGTACCGGTCCTGTCTGCGTCTGTACCGGTCCTATCCGGGTCTGTAGCAGCCACATCCGCGTCCTTGCCTGTGTTTACACACGGGCTCATTGATCCTACAGTGCTTGTGCTTGTACTGGGCTTCACCTTAGTCCTCTGTGGTATGCGCGGGGGTGTCTTCTTTCCCGCACCTGCCGGCCTGTTCGGCGTCTCCGTCTCTTCCTGCGCCGTTCCGGTCGCCACCGCGTCCGTACCTTCAACCGCTACGGCTGATGGAGTGGTAGGTGTAGGTACGTCACTCTTACTCTCGACGTCTGTGCTGTCCGGTGCATCGGCTGGCGTCTCCACTATGGCCTGTGTCTGGGCCTGAGAAGGCTGCACACGGTGTGTAGTCGGAGAGGGTGCTAGCACGCTTTGGGGATGCCGCGCATACATCGCTTTCTGCACCAGCCGCAGCTCGTCGTAGGTATCCAACCGGCCAGTAGTAGCGCCAGTGTCCGTTCCACCGCCGGAGCTGGATGTCCCGTTATCCATTGCGGGACCGGTACCATCGCCCAGGACATGGTACGCCGGGGGTGCCAGCGGTTGTGACGCGTACAGGTCGGGTGCAGACGCTGGCTGGTGCAGGTGCGTGCTGTGTCCGTGCTCGGTTGCGAATAGTCCTATGTATTGGTTGAGCACGGCTGCATTGGCTGTGGAGTCTAAGTAAGGGTTGTAGGCGTCACCGTAGATGCCGTGGTACGCCGCATCGTCCAGGGCCGGCGCGCTGGGCTGGAACCGAAGTTCGGTGGAGGTGTGTAGGGTGGGCTGGAAGGTGCGCAGCTGGTTGGTGTACCCAGTGGGGGCGGACATATTGGGGTACAGCCGATTAGCGGGTCGGGGATTGTTGTCTGTGGTGGGGGACGCATCCGGATACATAGTATTTGCCGTAAACCTCGCAAGCGCTGCCATACGGGCGGCTTCCTGTTCCTGAGACAAACCACTGGTCCCGTCTGCATATGAGTGTGCGTGTGCCAATCTGCGCGCGTCCGCGTGCGTGTACACCCCACCGTCACCCGTTGCCAAGGTGACGGCGGCCTTGTCCTTCTCGTCATCATCACTAGAACCGTTGACCACATCCGGGTAGATGCCCGGAGTTCTATTCGGAATCGGGGCGATGCTGGTTAGAGTGTCATATACATGCTCATCCGGCACTTCCCCTGAAGCGCTTATGGCGACCACTTTTACGCCTACCGCCGGCGTTTCGGTGTGCAACGACGCACCATCACCCGAATTAATGCCTGAATCATTGTCTGGGTCTTTCTGGAGGTCTTCGGCTGCCTTTGGTTTGGCGGGGGCTTTGTCGGCTGTGATGGCAGCGGCTGGTGCACTCGTCGCACTACGGGCCACATCGGTAGGGGCAGTCTATTTATAGAAAAGGAGATACCAGTATGATGAGACCCAGCAAACCCATCATCATACATACATACATACATACACAGCCGAAGCCAACAAACTCCACACTCCGCCACAAACCCTGAACCCTGAAATTACCATGAGAAAAGGGATTCAAAAGAACACGCTGGTGCCGATCTGCTCAGAAAACATAAACACTCCAGACATACTACTACACAACATACTTCACATATCACTAGATGTAAAAGTAGATTACACCATTGAAGAACGGTACAAAAAGAAAATATAAACACTCCACACATATTACTACATAACATACTATGTATACGTAGATTACACCATTGAAAACCGGTACAAAAAGAAAATATAAACACTCCACACACATTACTACATAACATACTATGTATACGTAGATTACACCATTGAAAACCGGTACAAAAAGGGCACGCGTACAACCGCAGCAATCACATACAGCGGGGTATACAAATACAGTGCAGCGAGGTACAACTATTCACTAGCACCAAGTGCACCAAAGAGAGGTGGGAACAGGCTAACACAACCTACCTTCGATATGAGCTACATTCGTATACACGCGTGTATGCACCAATACATGCATGTACATAGATAGACGCAGTGGGTGCGCAAATACTCATACACGTCTCCAAATGTGCAGCAAACAAATGTATATATATACCTTATTCGACTCCTCCACCTCGGCCGACAGTTTGGCGCCAAGGCTCTCGAGTCTCAGCTCTGCCTTGGTGATCAGCTTCTCCAGCGATCTATTCTGTTTCTTATAGAACGCATCCAACAGGGACGCCACTTTCACGTAGATATTTGCCATGCTGTACGAACCGAAGGCGAGGAATTAGGATTCGTAAGTAAACACTTAAATTAAAATTCGTAGTAAACACTTGAATTAAGATTCGTAAGTAAAACACTTGAATTAGGATTCGTGAGTAAACACATAAATTAGGATTCGTAAGTAAACACATAAATTAGGATTCGTAGGTAAACACTTAAATTAGGATTCGTAAGTAAACACATAAATTAGGATTCGTAAGTAAACACATAAATTAGGATTCGTAAGTAAACACATAAATTAGAATTCGTAAGAAAACACATAAATTAGGATTCGTAAGTAAACACCAGAATTAGGATTCGTAAGTGAACACTTAAATTAGGATTCGTAAGTAAACACTTAAATTAAGATTCGTATGTAAACACGTGGGAGGGTATCGCACGAACACCAGCTCAAACCCCACAGCCAGCCCTGAAGGGAAGTCCTTAAGGGGCAGATGGCAGCATGATCCGCTAGAGGGACGCCTTCACCGCAGCAAGTACGAAAGATACGCTGAGACAAGATTGCTATTCGTGCAAAACCCCTTGTTAACATAGTACAATATCCGGATGCTCTTCAAGTCGGGCTCAGTATCACAGAGATGTCACAATGGGTAGATATATGTTCAGGTACGTATGGTATGCAATTTCGTAAGCCAAGCGTGAAATAGTAGACTTGCAACTCGCCCCAATTGAATGATATCTGTATATCTATATATATATATATATAACACACACATGCATACATACACACACACACAT